TACAAGGGGAGTAGGGTAGGGTGGATTGTTGATACAAGGGGAGCAGGGTTTGGGTGGATTGCTGGTACAAGGGGAGTAGGGTAGGGTGGATTGTTGGGGAGTAGGGTTGGGTGGATTGTTGATACAAGGGGAGTAGGGTTGGTTGAATTGTTGATATAAGGGAAGTAAATTTAAGGTACAATATAGAGAATATATATAAATCCACCAACCTTCATTTGTAATATGGTCACAGTCACAAATGAATAACTCCTGCAACTGCGGCATTCCTTTTGCAAGGTATCTTATGCCTGTGTTAGTAATCTTGCTACAATCGTCCAAATCTAAGCTCGTCAGTTCCTTGAGATGCTTGGAAATGCTTCTCATGCTGTAGTCAGTCAGTTTCTTCGCTGACAGAGACAATGATTTCAACTGCCCTAGATTTTTCACCAAATTGTTAAGGGCAACGTGAGTCAATTCACAAATATCAAATTCTAGAATCCTTAAATTCTTCAGTTGTGAGCAAAACCAGACCAGCCCTTCAAACGGCATCACTTCATTATAGGTGATGACTGTGAGTGATTCAATATTTGGCACTTTTGACGCCAATGATCTTGCAGTTTGGATGCTGAAACTTTCCAGTGAGCCCATATCTAATTTTTTCAAGTTCGGCAGCTCTTCCTCAAACTTGACAAGGCAAGAATCAGTTATCCCCCCGAGGAAGCTCTCCACATCCATCTTTATACATTCCAAATCTTTAAGTTTAGCTACTTCGCTAAATGTGTGTTCCAAGTCAGTAATATGATCGAAGAACTCCAAGTCATTACCACCGAAAGCAAAATGTTTGAGTTTAGGAAGCTCTCTCGCGATCTCTCGCACTGTTTCATTGCCAACAAAGGGGACTTCTCTTATGTCAAATAGTTCCAGGTTTGGTAGCCTTGAAGATAAGGAATGCACTTCTTCATCATCAAGGTCCCTACAGTCCCTAAGATTCAACTTTTTGAGATTCTTGAGCTGGCTAATGTGTTTTAATCCAGTCATAGAGACCCATTCGCATCCATCCAGTAGCAAACAAGTAAGATTAGGACAAGAATTAGAAAGAATCTTCAAACAGTGATTGTCCAAATTTCCACAGTTCGTTAAATCGAGGAATTCGAGGTTATGTAGATATTCAGTAAGCCTTCTAAACCCTGCAAAATAAATTCTACTACAGCTTTTCAACGACAAACTCTTTAGGTTTCTCAAAGAAGACACGAATAAATGGTCTTTGGTGAGTTTATCTGTGACTTGCTTGCAATCTCGAAAAAATAAATGCTGAAGACTTGGCAACGTTGGTATTTTTCTCTGCAGAAACCCTTCGCTCACCTGAGGACAACCTCGAAAGAAAAGGTGAGTTAAATCCGGAACTTTCTCAAATAGCCAGTCTAATTCTTGTTCTGTAGCTCGAGTACAATGCACTCGAGTTATTTTACGTCTACGTAAGCTTTCGAAAAGACTTTCTGAAGAGTTTAGAGGTAAAATGATAATCACGTCTTTCCAAAACAATGGCAGGTATAACATATCTCTCCAGTAGCGACAAACCTGAGCGACTCTTTGCTTCTCTGGAACACTTAAATACGAAAATACGTTAACAGCGACATCTGCAATCAAGGGACCTTGCTGGAATGATAAAATACTCTCCATAATACAGTAAAAGGTGAACGTTTTTTCGAGGTTAAAGATACGATTTCATCATCTACATCACGTCGGCCGCGCGGTATCCTATGGCAATTGGGTATCCTGTGTTGGGATAAACGAGAGGGAGCGGGGAAGGGAAGTGGACCGAATCATATTTCATGATTGGGGTAATATGATTTTTCCCATAAGTATAAAGAATTCATTCATCTATCCTTTTATCATTTCAACAATCCATCCATTCCTTCATCACCTTATTTTATTCTTTCATTCATCGATCATTCCATTCATTCATTTGTCCACACAACCTTTGTTTCATTCATCCATCTGTCCATACAAATTTCGTTCGTTCGTCCATATATCATTTCATTTATTGGTCCATCCTTACTTCAAAAGACACTTAAGCTAACTCGAATTGGTGAGATAAATGACTTTGACACAAAATATCGTACTGAGTAGACTTTGTTTACTAATGAGGCCTTGCTTACCTCGCTTCCATTCAATTGTCCCTAGCCCCAACCGAGTTTGGCGGCCATTTTTGAAAGTCGTGTATGGCACGCGCTAATCTAGAATTTATACAAGCGTTTTACGTATTTTTTTAATTTTAATTATAAATGTTTTTTAAATGTTTATGATTTTTTATATATGTCTCTTGTTAAAATATATACCATTCTATATTTTGTTCTAATCGTTTCAGTGGTGTTTGTTATTAAAGATATCATTTCTTAATAGCCAAAGTTCAATAGCATCTCTGTTCTTGATGAACCTTTTTCTACATGGTTGAGAACAGGACGAAAAGAGTAATGGTAAATTCTTGACTTTGAATGCTTCGTCTACAGGCTTGATGACCCGAAGGCCTTGACCAAGTAGCACACCACCACAGCAGTCACACCTATAGGGGCTATAATAGCAGATAAAATACAAACGTCGTCAGAGGATGAATTAGGGACTTTAAAGGCCGGTTTAGACGGTACGATTTTCGCCTACAACTATCGTATACAACACGCTCGCGCCATCCTACAACTCGAGTCGTAGCGTGTAAATCAAGCCTACAACTCGCCTACGACAGACGCGTGCAACACGAAAAAAGTTGTAGGATTTTAAAACGTTTTAAAAAGCTACGACAATCGTTGGTGTCATGACGCGAGCGTGTTGTATACGATAGTTGTAGGCGAAAATCGTACCGTCTAAATTGGCCTTAAGATTTGCAAAATCTACGACGGCGACGTCAACCGGAAGTGTAAATAACTTCTCTTTAGGGTTCTGTTCATTGGAGTTTTCATTCAAAACATTGTCAGTAAAGTCAACTCATCCACCGGGAAGACAGACTTTGAAGACGCGAAACCCCAAAGTGAAGTAATTTAAACTTCCGGTTGATGTCGCAGTCGCAGATTTTGCAGATCTTAAAGTCCCTAGTGAGGGGATGGGGGCAGGACGAGGAGCGTTGTAGAGCAGTTTCGTATGACTGTGAAAAGCTCCGTGCCGTGTGCGTGATTTGCCGTGACCGTATGATTGGTCTGGCAGTACCGTGACCTTGGCGTGACCGTGTCCAAGTTTGATTGGATGGAGAGTAAATTCACCATTTTCCATACATTGCTCACTGGACAAACACAAAGCATTCAGTCGAGGTTGCAAGCTTCAAATTTGAATAACTCTTTGAAAGTACCTTGGCGCCTCGCTTGAGCGCTTTGTGTTTGACCAGCGAACCGATGTATGGAAAATGGTGAATTCTCGCGCAGTGTGATTGGTCTGGCGTCGACGACCGTAGTTGTGCCGCGAGCTTAAATCTGTCATACTAAATCTGTCTACCTGCATCCCATATTTCCTTTCCGTATCCTTCTCTCTAAATGTTATAAAACAGAATCATCTAGCAAGTCGTAATCATGAACAAACAATGATCCTGGGCTGCCTGTGGTTTTACCAACCTTTTCAAAAAGGATTTGATAGAATCGGGCAGCAAAGCCATCTTCAAACTGTTCTGTTTTGTTCTGTTTACAACTAGTGCACACAGATCCATCAGCCTCTGAGGGATTTCAAAGAATAAGAACGACATTTAGTAAAGTGTATGTCAAAATATACTATCAATCTGCAAAAGTCTTCCTCCCTCTACTATTTTCTTCTTCTGGTCTCAGCCTTTCCCTTGTCCCTTCTTTCTTCGTCCTATCACACATTCGCTCGCTCTTCCCTTCCTCTCTTTCTTGCTCCATCCTTCCCGCCTTTTTCTTTTTTCTTTCCGTCACTTCATCCATCTTTTCTCTCCTCCTTCCCATCCTCCTCCTAATTTCCCTTGCTTCATCCTTCACTCCCTCCCTCCCTACTTCTCATCCTCCTCCTCCCTAACCTAGCTCCCTCCTGTCTTCCCTGGCTTCATCCCTTATTCCCTCCCTCCTTGCTTCACTCAATTCATATTTTCTTTCCTACTTCTCACCCTCCTCCTCCCTAACCTAGCTCCCTCCTGCCTTCCCTTGCTTTATTCCTTACTTCCTCCCTCCTTGCCTCACTCAATCCATATTTTATTTCCTACTTCTCATCCTCCTCCTCCCTAACCTAGCTCCCTCCTGTCTTCCCTTGCTTAATCCCTTACTTCCTCCCTCCCTCCTTGCCTCCCTGAGTCCATCCTTTCTTCCCTCCTCCTCATCCTTCCCTTCTCTACCCTAGCTCCTTCCTGCCTTCCTTCGGTTTATTCCTACTACGTTCTTTTGATCCTTTTCCTCTTTTTCCTTCAGTCGCTCCATCCATTCTTTCTCGACTCCTTTCCATTGCCCTTCCCTCCTCCCTACCTAGCTTCCTCCCTCCCTCCCTCTCTCCTTCGCTCCTCCATCCTACATTCCGCCACTCCTTTTCCACTCGGCTTCACCCTTCACTCCCTCTCCTACTTCCAATACACCTTCGTCTGAAGGAATAACAAAGACTTTACCTGTGGCTGATTGCTGGCTGTCTCTCTCCAAAACAATGGATGGATAAAATTGTTGGAGATTTTCAAATACTTCAGGCGTAAATAAAGAATATTAGCAGGCAGCGCTCTGATTTGGTTTCCTTCGAGATTCAGCTCCCGTAAATTCCTAAAATAAAGCAACAAAACTTTTCATTCTTGCTTTTCGTATGAAAAATATAAACAATACAGCTTCAGTGTAAGTAAGTTTCCTTAACTTTCTGAATTCTGTATTTAAATAAATTAAGTAATTAATAGACTGACAAAAGACTTGACCTGATTATCACAATCCAAACCTCCGTAGTACGTTCATATAAAAAAGCGAACCTACATAATACGGTCATCTAATCACAACCAGAACCTCCGTAATACGGCCATAATACGATCGTATAAAAGAGCGAACCTCAAATATACGTCCATCTACTAAATCACAACCAGAACCTTCGTAATACGGCGGCCATCATTAGATTAAGTCACATAAGAAAGCCAGCGAACCTCCGTAATACGGTCACCTAATTACCGAGCTCCGTCATACGGTCATCCAAGAATTACCTTAAATTTCCAACCTCTGTGGGAACAAATGATATTCGATTGTACGAGAGGTCGAGGATTTCCAGATCTGTTAGCTCAAACAAACTGCAAAGAGAGAGACCATCGATTAAGATGTAAAACAAATCTAAGGAGATTCATCTCGGAACATTATTCACGCACATCATTTCCACGCATGAGTTAAGTGTGCGCGCGCTCATAATGACGTCATTCGGAAGTTTTGAAGGGCAAAATATCAAAATATTTTTTTTTTAGTTTAGGGTTTGTTATGTATTTCCAGAGGTTCATAACTGGTATTTTCCGTGATTTCAGGGTTTCCCCCTTGGTTCTCCAATTATGCGCTAAAAAAGTCTAATTCGGTCTGTGAGTTTAGCCGCGCCCTGAATTTGATCAGCTCAAATGTTGTCTTATACCCCATTCACACCAAGGCTTAAACATGTTTTAAAGTGGTTTAACTAAACAGTTTTGGAAAACTATCTACGAACACTGCACAATATTTGGTGAAATGATGCTTGTAAGCTATCCTTTGTCTTGCTCTGACAATATTTTAGAAAGTTTCATTATTTTGTAGGTTTCTAGTTTCTCATTTTTTTCCTAATGAAAACACAGTTTAACTAAACACGTTTAGGTGTGAATGGGGTATTAGAGTATCGATAAATACTTTTGGAGGTTAAAGTCTGTGTCACTCACGCATTTTGTATTCCCTTATTACAATTCTAGTATAAACGACAAACAAGTGTCCTACTCTTGTTTGTCACTAAGGGATCATTTTTTATCACTTTGTTTTAGTTTCTATCTTATTGGGCTTCCTGTGGTAACAGCAGCTTCATAATAGGGAATGTGCACGAGCACGAATCTCTAACACAAAGCATGATGGGAAACCGAGTACTACACAAATTAGAACAAAGAAATCAATAGAATTATCAGAAAAAATTACTCTTTATTCTCGTCTGTTGAGATATTTACTGTTTCATAGGAAATGTCAAAGGAAAAATTGTCAGAGGAATTTTTAGAGGAGCTGAAAAACCGCAAGTACTCGGTTTGCTATCATGCTTTGTGCTAGAGATTCGTGCTCGTGTACATTGGTATACCTACCAAGACGGTATCGAATTAACAAGACTGAAAGACATGTCTAAGACTTTGAGGTACTTGAGAGAACTTATTCCTGTAAAACAAATACAAAAAAATTCAAATTTTATGAAACCCTGTAACAACCTCTTGGCTGATCCAAGTCAAGGCATGGCTAATTAAAGTAGAGAAATGAAAAACTCTTAATCATATGCGATGCCGCGTCCAGGACCCAGTTGCACGAAAGATGGACAGCGCTATACCCATGGATAAATCCTTAACCAGTGGATAAAGTGATGCTGTTATCCAATACATTTATCCACTGGATAAGATTTATCCGTAGGATAGCGCTAACCACAACCTCGTATCCAGAGCCTGCGTTTCTTTTGGCCTGCGGCAAAGAACAAGGGCTCTGGCATAATTCATTTTCTGAGACCAGGACTTCCGGTATTAGAGCGCATGGTTTCAAAGCCTCGCCAAAAATAAAAAAAATATGTTCCCGATTCCTAATTTTTATTTCGATCGGAAGTTAACCCAGAACTCTGTTTAAAGCATGATTTTCACTCATTATATTTCACTTTAGGAAAATTGCGCATGCGCCAAAAAAATGGATTATGCCAGAGCCCTCGTTCTTCGCCGCAGGCCAGAAGAAACGCAGGCTCTGGGTACGAAATTGTGGTTAGCGCTATCCTACGGACAACCGGGCCCTAAAATCGAACTTGAGACCCATGCCCGATGCAAGTACACTACCGCTAAACCACTCTTTATTACAAAAACCATCAAAATGGCCAAAGATCGATGGACAGAGAATGGAGGAGTGGAAGTGTAGGCATTTCACAGGGAGTTGAGTGAAGGTGATGTAGTGAAGGACACACCGTCTTACCATGTGGGATTTCTTTAATCGGGTTATTGCGCAGCTTCAGTGACACCAACAGCTTTAAGTCCAAAATCTCTGGCGGAAACACCTGCCATAAAGATGCAAGATTATTCTTTGATTAATGACAAAATAGAAATATGCCCATGTGCTGCCTGCAGTAATAAAGTAGTGGGGATTATCAAAAGGTGCGCACTCGTGCTGTATGCTCTCGTAAAGCACGAGCCCCAGCCAATCAGAAAACGATAACAATTATTTCACAAAAATCGGCTACATGGCGTGCTTCTCGACGCTTTTTTCGTGTCCTGCCAATTCCTGCGTCTGCGTATGACTGTGTAAAGCTCACAGCACGAACGCGGTCGTGACACGGCAAGGCATGCGCCAGACCAATCACATTGCACGAGAATTTATTTTCCATCCAATAAAATGCGTGAAACACGGCACGTACACGGAGTGGACACGGTCACGGCACTGACAGCCAATCACATTGCGCGAGAAAAAAATCTGCTAATTAAAATTCTAGAAAACATCACGGTCGCGGCAACGCACGCATACGGTACCGAATTTTTCACGTCGTCATACGAAAACTGCACACAGCACGCTTGCGTGTTTTCTAGTGAAGAAATAGCAAACGCAAGAGATTTAAAACACTTATTTTAGCATTTTTTATGAAATTAAGAAATATATATAATAGAAAGGCAGCCATGACAGGAGGAAAGAACGATAATTTGGTTTAATAAGAAATAATTCCGTTTCACATGGGAAGAAAGACTCTATTGTAATTGTGCCTCTTGTCATGGCTGCCATCACGTGATGGTGCAAAGCCTCTATTCTTATCATTAATGTTCTCACCCAGAAGTCATTGAATGATGCATTCACATGAGTGATGTGGTCTGACATCTGAACCAATGTAGGCAGTCTACTTAGAAAATGAGCCTGAAACAACAATCGTTCATTAAATAAATATTGATTACATGGCCAAACTCTTTCCCGGGGGGGGGGGGGAGGGGGTACTCTTGCCCATTTAGGGTAAAGGATTTGCCACTGAGCCAGCAAAACCCTGACCCTGTTCCAGAGCAAGATCTAGAGTAGCCTGATTTCATATACCCTATCCCAGAGTGAGCGCGATTTTACTATATACCCTGTTCCAGAGTAGAATCGCTGAAAACAATACTCTGTTTGGGGTGGCATGTAATAATAATAATAATAGTTTATTATTTGTATTGCGCAATTTAACATGTTAATATGATCAACTGCGCATTACGTGTACCTGTATAGCGAATATAGGGAGTACCCCCCAGGACTCTTTCTTGTTTTAACATTTTGCTAGAGCATAATATTTTACTATTTCAGAATATCAATGTCACTCCCTAGAGTATTCTTTGTTTGTTAATGGTTGCATGTAAGAATACACACGAATAAAACTCAAACAAAGAATCTTACTCTCAAGGCAGGTGGGGATCCAGGGGTGCAGGGGGTGCGCGCCCCTCCCTGGTTCGACTTTGTGCCCCTACTTCGAAGAAAACCAATACTTTTTTTTCACTTTCATTCTAAGGGGTGCACTCCTCCCTGGGTTAACATTGTGTGCAGCATCCCTCCCTGAACAAAATTCTGGATCCGCTCCTGCAAGGGAATGTCACAAGGTCTGACACGTGGCAACAAAATGGTGGCTTTTTAGAATTCATACGGTAAAGCATAATGCCAGTGTTTATTTTATTTTACTTTTGGATATTTGGGAGCTCAAACAAAATGGTGGAATTTTGAATTTACCCCCCCCCCCCTCCTCAAGAAATTCTGGCTACTCCCTTGTATGAAATGGGAAAACATTACCTTCAAGCTAAAGAGGTATGTTAATAAATCTGGACTTACTTTGATGTTAAGTGTTGTTGTCTGTGTCATCAGGGTGTTTAGTATGACAGCTTCCAAAGGGGACACCTGTGTGTGGTAGTCTTGTAAAGTTACTATGAAGAAGAAAATAACATTTTATCAATACACTGAAACAGCCTGAGTGACCAAGACAACATCAGGACAGTAAATTAACAGATAGATCCCTGAATTTAAAACCTCTTGGCTGATCTAAGTCAGGGCACAGCTTACTCACAGATAGAACCCTGAAACAACCTCTGGGCTGATCTAAGTCAGGGCACAGCTTACTCACAGATAGAACCCTGAAACAACCTATGGGCTGATGTAAATCAGGGCATGGCTAACTCACGGATTGAACCTTTGGGCTCATTAAAAACGATAACTTGAGAACCTGAAGCAAAATCCTTGCATCAAGGGAGAGACCTAACAAACTCTATTTGTATGTGATGGAGAGAATACTATAGGAATCAAATCTGAGACCACAGAGGTGAGGCCTTGGCTACATCTATGCTATCATCGATACACACTTTTAATTTTTCAAGTGTTTTTATTCATATTGGTTCTAAAATAATAGACTTACCAAAGGGTGATGAGGTTCTTGGGATTCCTTCTCCCTGAAAGTATGATGGAGCAGAGCTGGGGAGAAGTAAATCTGAATTTGGGAAAGCAACTATTTTTGGTCTGAAAACGAGAAATGATCAAATGAATATTAATAAAATAAATGAAGGAAATGGAGGAAAGAATGAAGAGAGGGATAGAAGAGTGGGTGGTAGATGGATGGATGTGTGTAAGTTGATGGATGGATGGATGAATGCGTGAGTGGATGGATGGAGGGAGGGAGGGAGGGAGAGAGGTAGTGATGGATGGGTGGATGGATGAATGTGTGGGTGGGTGGATGGATGGATGGAGGGAGGGAGGTAGGGATGGATAGGTGGATGGGTGGCTGGATGGATGGAWGGATGGATGGAAGGATGGATGGAAGGATGGATGGATGGATGGATGGATAAGATGGATGGACGGATGGGTGGATGGACGGATGGATTGATGGAAAGATGAATGGAGAAGATGGATGACTGGGTGATGGATCAATGAATGGATGGATGGATAAGATGGATGACTGGTCAGATGGCGTGAAAAGCTGGATGAATGGATGGGTGGATGGATGGTTGGATTGATGGGTGGATAAAAGGGATGGATGGGTGGTGGATGAATAAATGGACAGGTGGGTAAGCTGGAAGGTTGGGTGGATGAGGTAAAAGGATGGATGAATGGGTGGATCCATGGAAGGAGATTGATGAAAGGATGGGTTGGTTGGTTGGTTGGTTGGAAAAATGGATTAAATATAACATAAAGTCAAGCCAAAATAAAATGAAAAAATATCTACAATTTTCATCCAGTAATATTATTATTTTATTCTTTTTACCTTTCCAATGATGATGCCTTTCCTCTTTCCATCAGAGTAGGTCTCTCCAACATCAAAGAGTCCTCAGACTCTTCATCACCTTCCCTTACACAGACACCACCTTCTATATCATCTCTGAAGTTAATTCTCAACTTCCTTGTCTTAACTCCTTGGTCCTTATCATAACCACATGCTTGCTCTTGAAGTCTTTTGTCAAAAGTACCGACCTTCTGCGCAGCTACAGACTGGCCTGTAGTTTTAACCTCTGGTCCTTCATACTGTAATATTTGCTTCTTGATGTCGAGATCATCAAGTTTGATCTCTGTTTTCTCATATTCAATTGCTCTATTGTGCTCTGACCTGTGGTCTATGGGGGGTAGGGGTTTTTGCATTGGTGGGATGGTCCGTTTTGACACTGCAGGGGTGACTGGGGTCATTTTGGCAACCTTTTCGGCATAGATTGAATAACCTGATTCTGCTGTAACAACTGTCTTTTCCATTTCAGCAATTGGGACTTTCATTTCTGCAAAAATAAAGGGAATGTTTTGTCAGCCCAATGCCAAGTTCGTACTTCCTTCCTCAGGGGCGGATAAAGGGGAGGGGTGCAGGGGGTGCGCATCCCTTCCTGGTTACACTTTGTGCTCCTACTTCTGATTCTAAGGGGTGCACCCCTCCCTGGGTAACATTGTACACAGCACCCCTCCCTGAACAAAATCCTGGATCCACCCCTGTTCCTAATTATGTTTCAAAATGGGTGGGTGTATGGTGTGTGGGCAGGGTTGGACAGGGGGGTGGAAATGGCAATTCATGCATCAATATTTCCACAATTCATACTTCAGATATAGTTTTGAGCAGATCTCAAATTTTAACTAAACAAACACAAATCAAACACATTTCGAAAGATTAATTATAATGATCACAGTAAACCTGGAATTCACAAATCACACTCTACATTTTGCTACTTTTACATGTCCCATGAAACACTTGTGCTNGGGGGGGGGATAGGGGTGGAGTGGAGAGGGGTTGAGCTTTCAAACCATAACCACATTGATATAATCCAAATGTCATATCTTACCAATTGAGAGTTGACGAGGAGGGATTCTAGGAGTAACATCTGGAACATTTACTGAAGCTGGGGAAAAATAAGCAAAATTTATGTAACTGTCCAAAAGATTCGTAAACTACATGATTATATTAATTGAAGTTTGATCACATTAGCATTTATTTGTTTTACTTTGTGCGTCGTATTTATGCTGTATTATTGAGTAAACCAACCCCCTTTTCCTAGCAACCCCAAAAAAGTCAAAAATTTAAAATTCCTGGAAGTTCCACTGTTGGAAGTCAAACTCGGATTTAAAAATAGCTGTTAATAGATTGGTATATCATATAAGCAATTGATATGTGGCAAACTTACTATCAATCTCTAGGCTGTGTATATTTGTCTGCTGAGGTCGATTAGCCGCGAACCAACTCGTTAACTTTTCATAATTTTGATCAGATATCACTATTTCTCTGTTTTCTTCAGCAACTCGAGAAGGAACTCGTAAGACAAAATTTTTCAACGTAAAAGCTGGCGGAGGTCTTTCGTAAGAGTCACTCAACACTTCAGGAAGCTCTCGAACTTTTCTTGGTTGTCTTGCTGGAAGAGGAGCTGGTCCACGAGGACGGTAAGGTTGAACTACAGAAGTGTCTGGTAAAGGGACATCGCCTGAGTAAAGTCTTTCTGGAAATTGCTTGTGTTTAGAGCGCGATAAAGAAGGGATGACGGGCGATTTTGAGAGATTTTCGTGTATTATATCTTCGTGAATCCCTTTTGGAGGTGGCGACGGGGACTTTGGTAAGTTTTGTAGTGGTTTTGGTGGTAAAGGACGGCGTAAAAGTGGCATAGCTTGTTGAAGTCTTGTGGTTGCCGCCATCTTGGCTTGGAGAATGATTATGTACAGTGTTACCATGACAACTTGTGAAGAACCCCACCACAGGTAACCCAAATATTGACATTTTTTATCTAGTTTTGGAAACCATTCTTTAAAGTTTTTGGTTATAAAAATTAATATATTAACTAAAAAAATAAAATGAATAAAACAGATCTAAAGTCACTGCATTAATCAACATACCTTTTTTCCATCAATTTTTTTTACAAAATTTTAAATTTGATAAAAATGCTAGTAATTTTTTCTATCTTAAGAAAACTTGAAATTCTTTACACGTAATATAAACTTATTTACATTTTTGTTATTTTCTTACAGTGTTATCTCAGTTTTATCAAAGTAACATAAGTTACTTTTACTGATAAGACTGATAAGGCTTTTAAGCATTAAAAATATATAATTTCTTTAAAAATATATATAATTTGAATATTAATTCATTGATCATAAATAAAATATTCCAAGAAAGAATTGAAAAAAGGATAAACTCTTGAAGGAAGTAATATTTTTACCGAAATTGGAAATTGTACCGGAAATCAAACGTCCCAACCGGAAGTGTTGAAACCAGCTCGTAGCTGGAGAGTGGTGACTAATCAACAACGCGTGAGTTTATAATACGAAGTTCAATGTTTATCGGCAGGTATTCCTTCAATACCCTCAAAGATACAGCCTAAAAACACTCAAAAATGTCCTCTCCTAAAGCAGCAAAGGCCGATAATACAACAAGGAAGCGTAAGAGGAAGAGTTCTTCAAGTGAAAGTGAAGAAAATGGCCCTTCAAAGAGAAAACAAAGGCCTCTGGTAAGACGTTTTTGAGCCAACTTCACTTCCTACGTGTACAAAAACTAGCAAACCTTTGTCCGAAAAACGCGCGGAAAAAAATATGAAAGACAAAAAAACATCTCTATCCCCTACTTATGTGTTATTATAATATCATGTCTCCAATTGATTTTAATTCAGAGTTTTTTTATCGTGTTGATGGATAATTTTTTCCAGGAGGAACAAGAACATTGAATAAAAAAATTGTGACGCACGTTTGCAAAACGCGTGGTTCTTTTTTCCTTGGAAAAAAAACATACTAAAAACCCTCTTTTTAATTATATCTAAGTGATATTTTAAGACACATTAGTTAAAGAAACTATTCTTATTATCTTTTGTAGATACGCCATCTAGATTTCCAGAAATTTTAGGTTAAAAAACGAAGAAGTATTTTGCTGCGACGCGAGTTTGAAGTGGTTTTCGAACCCAAAGATTTCGAATCTCGATTGGTTTTTTATTCTCATTCCTGCGTTTTATTGCGATTTTCCTTTTATGTTAATACTTTTGTTTTAACTATTGTTTGCAGGCTCCCCGTGAACCAGCCGTGTATTTCGACCCAGAGAATGACTCATCCGATTTGGAGGACATTGAACCAATTTCTTTCGAAGATGCAAAAAATGGAAAAGGTACATACGTATACATTTGAATTTTTTTTTTAATTTCTTTTTCTTGTGTGTGGTTTGTTTTCGAATCAGGGTAAATTTTAAGGTATCAGAAGAGTGGAAAAAAATATTTCGTAATAAATTTATAACAATACTAGTAGTAAATTTGCATAATATCATCTGAGTTGGCATCTTCAAGACTAATTCCCGAATGATTGAAAATCAACTTTGATATAAATAAATATAAATATATAAGTATATATTTTATTTTTATAGCTACAAGACCGATTCGAGTCTATGCTGATGGTATTTATGATTTGTTCCATTTTGGGCATGCAAGAGCTTTGATGCAAGCAAAATTATGTTTCCCAACACCAGTTTACCTAATGGTTGGAGGTAGGATTATCAATCTATATCTATTAATTATTGATTTGATACTACAGAGATATTTGGAAGAAATTTCTCACGTCTTGAATTTTGAAATCTATCATCATCAAGTAAGCATTAACACCACCAAGGTACATATTATTTATAATTTAGACATACTGTAATAATTGTAGTGATTTTTAGACCTTAATTTGTCATGTTTTTCCTTGAACATATGATTTGGTACACATGTCCAAAGTTCGAAGTATAAGGTAACATTACATTTGAACCTCAAAGAAACACCATGCAATCTAATGTTTGTAAACATGTATGTTTTAAAATAAGGCCCATTAATTAGGGGGTACCATTTCTATGCCTAACTACCAATTTCATAGCGTTCTCGTGTTCCTTTTCAGAATTTACCCCTAAAATAGCCTGCTGTGCAGACGTTTTTAGAGAAAGGAACGAGCCAACACTAAAAACGTCTGCACGGCAGGCTACCCCTACAAGGGCCTCACTGTCGGTAATTTATTAAAGCAGTCTGTCTTTCGTCGCTAGTTCATGTCACCATTTCAAGGCAATGTGGCTTGTCGGAATTTATCCCTAACAAGGACTCTGAAAGGAAAGCTATATTGTTAGTATCCCTGCATACATATTTTGGCTTTTTCCATTTATTTTTGAAGCTTGAAACTAAACCTTTAGAAATTACTTATATGATTCCATAAAGGTTAGCAAAGGGGTCAAATGATTTTTTTGCTGTATTTAGATTTTTTTTTTTTCATGTGATGTCATGTCTCCTCCCAAATGTCTTTTACTAAATCTATTATGTACACCTACTTGCAAGAAGGTTGTCATACGGGAATAGCACATTTGTAATTTAGTAAATTAGTGATTTAGTAAATTTACCGGTTAAGAATAAATTATCACTGACATCAGGGCCTACGGATTTAAGTCCTTGTCCRAGAAGACTTGAAGGTCTAACCATTTGCAGATTTTAATAACAAAGGCAGCACCTTCTCCTCAGTTATTTTAAGACCCTGAGTGTTGGTCCGGCCAAGGCTTGAACCAGGACCTCCCGCATAACAGACCAACACTCTTACCAACTGAGCTAGCTTGATTTGAGAAGCGAGAACTAGCTAGCTCACTTAAGGTGACGGATGTTTTTTTGCATTCTCTGAATGAACTCTTATTACAGTTTGCAGTGATGAATTGACACACAAGTTCAAGGGTTTCACTGTTATGACAGATGAAGAAAGATATCAATCATTACTCCACAGTCGATATGTTGATGAGGTGATTAAGGACGCCCCATGGTTGATAAGCAAGGAGTTTTTAGATTTACACAAGGTAAAATTATTTTCTCTATTCTGTCAGTGTAATGAAAAAAAGGTTTGGGAAAAAATCTCGTTAGGGGAGTATTCAACTTTCCTTCATTCTCACCAAAACTATTGCAAAAAAACAAAAAAAAAAAACATTACAAAGTACAGCAGTGGCAAAGCTCAATGGGGTTGAACTGAAAGCAATGTGAAGGGAGAGACCTAACAAACTCTACTTGCATGTGGAATGTCGAGCAGGAACATTGCAAAAACCCTGAAATTGCGAGGGCATTCAGAATATAAAAAAAACTAAAACAGCCATCTTTATAAACAGAAGAGATCATAACTATCTAAAAACTAGTTTGAGCTGCGTCGGTGTTTCTAATGAAACAGTAATGATAAAAAGGTAAATTATAAACCATGAAAAGATGAAAAAACTTACTGAAATTTCGCACTCTAGTCCTTTGTCGGAGTTCATAGACTCCTTTATAACGCAGAAGACATCTATAAGGACATCAAGCCATGGGCAAGTTTGTTGCGACCCAGCGTACAGAAGGAGTATCTACTTCTGATATCAAACGTCTTTACGAACAGAAGTTCAATATCAAATCTTTATGAAAAATGTTTTTAAACAGTTCACAAAGCTATTTCCAGTTACTTTGTTAAAGTTAATTAGCTTTTAAATTTTTTTCTTCCAATTATTTTGATAATTAATTACCAAAAATTTAGGGGATCGGCCCACTTGCCCCACCCTCTCTACACCAGTGATGTCGAGTCCAGGAATCAAACCTTAGAAGCCAGAGGTTTGATGCCAGCGCAATACTGCCACACCATGCTAGCTTAATTCTCTAAAAAATTACTATTTACTGTCGTTCTACTGTAACCGTCAACACTCGAGTTTATTTTATTTTATTTTTGGTTAGTGTAAATATTTTTCTCTTTCATCATTTCATCTCCCTGAATAGCTGTTATAGACTTTCAATACTGACAAGTAACTCGAATTCTATTGTTTTCAATTTGTAATCTGATTGGTTGACAAACTCGAGTGTTCGTGATAAGAGTAGAACGACAGTAAGTTAGAGACAGTGTTATGAATGAATCGATAAAAACCACTATTCAAACAAACAACTTGTGTTTTATTCAAAGATAGACTTTGTTGCGCATGATGACTTCCCTTACAAAAGTGCCGGCGCAGAAGACGTCTATAAGGACATCAAAGCCATGGGCAAGTTTGTTGCAACCCAGCGTACAGAAGGAATATCTACTTCTGATATCATTGCACGTGTTGTAAAGGATTACGATGTATATTTAAGGAGAAACTTAGCCAGAGGGTATACTGCAAAGGAACTGAATGTTGGATTCATGAAGGTTCGTCAAGCACATTATGTGTCATTTTTTGTCTTTACAGTTAATGAAAGATGATCAGGGCTCAAAATAGCAGCCTGCCAATGGCCAAATCACAGGCCAAATTTCAAGTTTTGCAGGCAAAAATAATGATACGCTGCCAAATGAATAATAAAATGGCATGCAAAATTTTCTGGAATGACCTCCTTTTAGCATGCTCCTTTACTATGGCAGGCTGCAATTTTTTTCTATTTCAAGCCCTGGATGATGTGCGAAAGTTTTCAAAACTTGCACATGATATTTACTGTGCGGACACACTTGAATAAAACTGACCAATCAGATAACAGTAAACTAGACAGAAATTGAACTGATAACAGTGTTAGTCAATCAGATTATCACATTCTCATGCTTTTATTATATTGATGTGCTATCTGATTGGCTGGTCAAAAATATAGAACTGAATGTAGCAATATGATTAGTTAATATTACTAGTTTATTGAAGTGGTTCCGGTTGGAGTATCCGCACAATAAATGTTGATAAATTTTAGCATTGTGTAGCTCCAGAAATTGACCTTACCCCCCCCCCCCCTCCCTGAGAAATTTGGAATTCCCAAGGGGTGGGGGTCAGAGAAAGAACAAAATTACAGAGTTTGTATGGAAGAAAATTGGAGTTTTTGAGGGTAGTTGGGGTCTTTAAAAAATCCTCCGTAACCAGTATGGATAATTATTGATTCTAGAACTACATCATTGTGATTTTTCCACATCCCTAATTTCTATTGGCCTTTGTGTTTGTTTCTTTGGGATTTTTTCTGAGACACTCTTGGTTGTTCTTAGTTGATCGATGAATTCGACAGATCTTAGTCTGTCTTCTTTTGGATCTTATCATTGATTACGCATTGGATCATTGATTATTTAATCTTAATTTTTATTATTTCCATTCTACTATTTCTTTCATAATTTCTTTCCTAGTAATATAAGATTCATCACCATTTTTGTCCCAATGTCCATTTTTTTCATTCTCTTCTATTAATTTTCACATTCATGCCATTCCATTCTATTTATTGTTGTCCCATTTCTTTCATGCTCTTTTCAATTCCCTTTCACATTCTTTCACTCCATTTCACATTCCTTTCTTTCTTTTTTTAATAACTTTTCGAATGTTTTTTTACTTCAAAGGAAAAAGAAGTTTTAGTTAGAAACAAATTTGATGACATCAAGGGAAAGATAACAGACAAATCCCAAGAGCTTCTCGAAAAATGGGAAGAAAAATCAAGGGACTTTATCAGCCGTTTCATTGATATCTTCGGCAGGGATGGTCACCTGGTAAGCCTTGTAAAATCATTTGGTAGAACAAGACTCTTTAATGAAGACTAGTTTTAAAAAGTCAAAATTACTACCATTTTATCTTTGGAGTGAGTCCCTCAAAATTTGGTGTCTCGTTTGCTGACAAGCATTTTAGAGACTGTCAATCAAATAACTGCAGTAAAAGAAAAAATATTTTGAAGGAGATTTCGGACTGAGTTAAACATTTTAGATTACAGGATTAAAATCTTAATTCAGTCTAAAAATTTCCCTCAAAATATTTGGTGTTTTTTTAAAATTTTGGTTCTTTGATTGACGGTCTTTGAAATGCTAGTCAGCAAACGAGACATTGAACTTCACAGGTCACACTTCAACTATAATGATAGTAACTATACAGCTTCTCATTAATCCCATATAGGTAACTGTCCAATTATTTTCTTAATTGGACAGGTCTTGTTGATATGGGATTAATTAGGCAGCTATATAATTAATAGGTAATGGGATTTCATACTCCCCAATCAAGAAATAATTAGACTCGAAAAATTCGTCTGACTGCCAAATTGGACTCAGCCTACAGCCTCATCCAATTTTGAAAGTCCTCGGAATTTTCCTCGTCCAATTATTTCTTAATTGGACAGCATGGAGTCCTATTACATAATACTAATTGGGTTGAAAGGACAAGGTCAAAAAATTTAATTTGTCATCTAACGGTGCTCAATTAAGAGGGGAGGGGTGGGTTAACCTGGTACTCACTACCTCTGAAAGTAAAATCCTGTATTTTTAAATATCTCCAAAACTAAAAGGCAGTTTGCAAAAAAAAAAATTGAATGTACTGTCAGTTTGCACGTATTATAAACAATGCATTTGTGTGCTTAGCGTTCTGAGAATGAGAAAAAACTGGATCAAGTTGGCATGGCAGTACATATTCATGGGGAGCTGTTTTAGGGGCTATATCTCCAAAACGGCAGCTATTTTGTGCCCTTAAACTGTCCCAACTCAACCTTGTAATGGTTAATAGAAATAATCACTTGGACATCCATCATTGAGCATTTCATTTCTAATCATTGAACTTTTGTTTTGACCTTGCCCGTAAATAGTCAAGAAATTGGTACAGTACTTTTTATAGTTTGTCAAATGCTGTGGTTGCTATTAGAAATATTGGGGCAGGTGTAGATAGGGGAATAGGAAGGGATAAAAATGGGAAAAGATGGAAGGGATAGAATGGAAGTACCATGATTGTTTTGTGTTCTTAAGGTAATTCCTTTTGAAATTTTTTGTCCGAAACGTTTTCTACAGTTTTTTACCTAACGTAACAATTTTAAATTTATATAAAAAGGCAAAGTTGCGGCTTTAAATATGTAACAGAAAGTTACAAAAAATTCCATTACTAGTTTTTGCCATAATTAATGTTTCTATATTAAAAATTTTTACCTACAAAATGTAAATATTTCACATGAAAAAAAAAAAAACTTATTATATTTAGTAATTTTTCCAAAATAGCTTTCTTTTTAAAATACTTTTTTGCCTTATAATTATAAAATGTACACATAATAAACAAACTAAATAAACTCCAAACATAACCCTTCAAAACTTGATGATTCATGATTATAAAATAATTGTTTTAGCACATTTGTGAATTCCCCGCTTTCCGATTGGTCTAGAGCCGGGGGAGATAGAAGATAAATGACGTCAGCAAATCACTCACACTTGAAACCGTCTTTATTTCAAATTTTACCCTTGCTTTTGTAGTAAAATTTTAAATCTTTCGTGGTAAAAAAAACCAATTTTCTCCAGTTTTCCATGGTACTGTATGTCCGGCTCTTATTTACTGCTTTTTTCATCATCTAGCTTTCTAAATATGTTATGGACTCACTTGGCTATGCCTCACGAGTCCAATGCATTTTGACAGTTAGATGACGAAAATCGTGGTAAATAAGGGTACATACCAATTGAAAAACTGGAGGAAATTGGTTAAAATTAATATCAATAATTAAAAAATATATTTTGCTGTTCCTTAATCTATACATAACTTGAACAACAAAATTGCTATTTAAAGTACATTTGTAGTCAAAATTTAAAAAAATTATTAAGCTAATATTAAAGGAATTAATATTAGTAGTCGATCATTTTTCAAAATCATTACTCCACATAACGGAAAAAAATATTTCTGTTTCATACTCTTCATGTAAATCCAAAAATATTAAAATCATAATCCTAAACAAATTTGACGACAATATATATACCACAGTTATTTTTGAAATTAATATTACAAATATAATATTGTAAAGTTTGTATGGCAGCTTTGATATTATCGTGAGTTTTGGCATCACCAAGCTATAATTATTGTGGAATTCCTTCCAGCCGCTTCTGTTCACTTTAAGGTACAAGTTCTTACGATAAAAAATTACTAATGTTTTGGTTGATATGTGGTGATTGAGACAACAGTTATGACATGAAATCGGGCAATAGACCCCTTGTGTCAAAGCAGCTCAATTTGGAGGATACAAAAAAAGAATTTCAATCTCCTGAGAATTGGAAACCTATGGTTATGTCCTCTAAATAGACCATTTCACAGATCCCACGGCTCAACCTCAGCCTCGTCAGCGTGTAATATATTCTTTAGAAATTGCCTACAACCTGTGAAATTTTTAAGTGTTTCAATTGTTGGTTGATGTGTAAATTCCTTTCATTACTGCGGACTGTAGTCAAATTCTAAAGAATAATTACACGCTGACAAGGCTGGGGTTGAGTAACGGGATCTGTGAAATGGCCTATTGAGCTGTATACTGTCGTGCTGAAAGGTGTCTTAAGACTACCATCAATCAAATATTAAATTATTAGAGCATTTAATAGTTTATTAACAACTGTGCAAATGTATGTGGCATTGGGAAACGGTACTCAAACGATTTGATTGATGGTAGTGCAGTGCCCAATTTCCATGTTGTGACTGTTATCTTGATCAGCATGTAGCAACAAAACAGTGGTAGTTACGAAAAAATCCAAACATTTATTAACATCCTAAAATTTATCAAGTAGAGCATTTTTCATATTTTAAACTAAACTTGCACGCATCAAATAAAAAGCCTAAACATTAATTTATTTTAATAAATTAAAAGCTCTAAAATTTATCAAGTGGAACTTTTTTCACATTTTGAACTAAACTTGCACGAATCAAATAAAAAGCCTAAACATTAATTTATTTTAATAAATTAAAAACCCTAAAATTTATCAAGTTGAATGTTTTTCACATTTTGAACTAAACTTGCACGAATCAAAACATTAAAAACCTAAACATTGATTTATTAACCTCTTAAAAACCCTAAAATTTATCAAGTAGAAAGTTATTCACATATTAATAGCACTAAACATGCACGTATCACACTCTTATCCATTTGGGGTTGAATAATTTTATTTACACACTAAAAGTGTAGGATCACACCTAATGCTTGGTACGATATTCTTATTTGCTGTCCCTGGGCATCAAAAACAAGATACTGTAGTTTTCCTAGCATGGTTGAACCAGGGTTTAAAATGGCCAGAAATGTCCGGCCTGAACTGGGACTTATCCAGTCGTATTTTTGTCTTGCCGGTCATTTTGATAAGTAATGTCGAGCCAGAAATGAGTTACTGTATGGCTAAGCTAAAACTAATTTCATTGGTCTGCGATCATGACTGGCAACTGGTCGACTGTTATTTTAAGCCCTGCTTCCACAGCACAGCTAAGCACATTATGATCCACAACCATTCTATTTTAAAGGGAAATAGGGCAATACACTGCTGCCAATCAGAGAATATCAGGGGCGGCTGAAGCTAAAAATGTTTGGGGGGGCACTGAAGATTATATTTAACGCTATGTGATAATGACAATGTTTGATTGCAGACGCATGTGCCGTAAAACAATGACTAAGAACCAATCTTTTTTGAGGGGGTCAGGCCCCCCCAAAAAATTTGGTGCCCCCCCTGGTTCCGCCGCCCCTGAATATAAAGGTACCGGCCAATTTATTTGATTGACAGAAGTGTATTGCCCAATTTCCCTATTGTCTTGATCAGCACGTAGCAATGAAAAGAGTGGTAATCTAAAAATTATCCTGTGCACTTGACAAAATTTTGACCAACTTGCTTTTAATCTTGTATTATTATTATTATTTACAATTCTAGGACCGTCTTATTGGAAGGGGAAAGGACAAGATAGTAGGAGCTGGAAGGAGAATCAAACATGTGCTGTCACCTAACCCTTATGCTGACCCTGAATACTATGAAGAAGTGTCCCCATCCAGATTACCTGCAAAACAACCTAGATTATCCTTTGAGCCTGAGATGTCAGATGATTCAGAATCAGATGGATATTGAAGAGTTAAAAAATATTGATGCAAATTGCAATACTGCTATGCTATTTTACACGCATTTCAGACTTGGTAGGCAACATGCAACAAAATCTTCACAACGTTTAGCTTCATCATATTTAAATCTAAGTTTTGCAGTCAAAGGACAGGGAGCTTGCCCCCTAGTACTGCATCATTCAATTCATTATTATCCACTGATGATAGCCAGTATAGTCCAGCTTAACATTGATTAGCTAATTTTGCAAATGTGCCATACAGTTCAAGATTAGAATTTATTTTTTAACACATCAAAGGAAGTTTGGAAATTGAAAAATCAAATGATGAATTGAATAATGCAGTCTATACAAGAAGTATGCAGGGCATCTTGGTGTCATATGCACCAGTATGCAGGGCATACTTCTTGTACTTTGAGTGTAAATGTGTGAAATTACGGTATCACTGACAAGATATCGTCCATGTCTGGACGTTTTCAGAAGGGATGACAAATAATCCTTCATCGAATAATTTAAGTGTCTCATTTTAAAAACGTATTCCTGGAAAATTTATATTAAATGATTCTCGTAGTTTCACTTTTTTGGTATTCTAATGTAGGGCTGAAAATAACTGTCGGTCAGTCGCCAATTATGATGACCAACCAAATTAATTTTTTCTTGGCCATTCTTCATTTCTGGCTCAATGTTACCTGCTAGCAGAGTCTCTCTTCTCTTTCTCTCCCTTCTTTCAGGCGGGGAGGAATGAGACTGCTGATGTAGAGCATTTCCTTTGATACACTGCTTTCCTTGATTGTGGACGAACAAAACCAGTTTTAAAACCGGTTTTTAACTGATTACATGTAGTGTGTATGAGAAAATGTGACACACCGTGGCGCCAAACATTGTTTGACGAGAGCGACTGTCTAAATCATGGCAGCATTGCTAAGTTACGCCACGCATACGCGACAGAAATAACGTCCTACATTGGCAGAGTCAATTTTTCTCTCTCAGCCAAAACAACAAATTTAAGGAAAATAGGCTCTGCTAGCAGGCAAGGCTCAATGTTACCCATGTAGTCAAAATGACCAGAATTAAAAAAATTCCAATTTTTGTCAGACATTGTCAAGATGACGGCTGTTATTGTAAGCCCTGGACATATGGTGCAACTGTTGCATGAAGTGAGATTGATGGGTTACACGTAATAACATTTCCCAAGACAAAACACTACCTAATATTTATCTCCAATGCGGTATAGGATGCAATGGTTTGATAGCTTGGACACCTCTTTAGCTTGGTCTTAATGTTTTCTCATTCAGACCACACGTCATTCTCTTGATAAAAAGATTCTTTGTTTGAGTTGTATCCATATTCATGTGTCTTCTCATATGCACCAGTTAAACAAAGAAATGATACTCAAGGGAATGACACGTGGTCTAAAATGGGAAAACATTCCTCCAAGTGTCAACAATGCCAGTTCAGTGTAGATTTGGTTCTTCTCCTGTGCAATATTGCATGCAGGCAATGAGGTGCAATTTTCTGGTTGCATGCAACAGTGTCACCAATGCCTTACGTTGGTGTACAAAATAGCACCAATGAAACAATTGAAAAAAATAGATCATGTGTTTAGTGCTATTTCACAGATATATGATTTAAACTCTATCAATTAAAAAAAATCATATTTATATTTTGCCAATTAAGTAAGTTTTTTATAAATACATATGTAGAGGGATTTCAGTGAATATATTAAATAATTATTTATCGCATTTGATCACTCAATAAAACAATTTCAATTTTTAAGTATACTCTTCTTGTATTATATCATTGTATTATATTATTGCATCCTCTTTATGTAATATATACAGTACGAGTGGCCGTGTTGTATCAGATATACGACCACGAGGTGTAGCCGAGTGATTGTATATCTGATACAACACGGCCACGAATACTGTATATGACTTATCAAACGTCTAGGTTAGTTCCTTTGTGTTTCACTAAAATTTTCAAAATTAAAGTGAATTTGGCCAAGAAAATCCAACTTAAAGTTTATGCAAATGAACACAGTTTTGTATCAGATTTACAACACTCTTCACGGTCGTGATTTCTGTTGTGTTTTCCTCATGAATTATTAATGAGTTTGATAATACAGCTTTCAAATGTTTATCCACAGGCAGCCCAAGCAATGTATTTGTGGTATGCATAATAGGACGTTTGCATGATGGTGTCATTTGACTCTCACTACCAACTTTCTTATTTAAATTTGTATTCCCTCATGGGAATAGAGACAATTGGTGCTAATTAACTGAACAAAAGAAAGTGTGCAAGGGAGTCTGGTAGTAGAGGTCAATGTTGCCATCATGCAAATGTCCTATTTTACAGTAAATGTATTCTCTACTTTCACATCCCCATAATGCCTTGCTTCTTTGGGGGGTAACCAATCAAAAACTGTCCCAAATTGAAAGGTTTCTTAATTGAATTTATACTATACCTGCTTTTATCTGTACAATACTGATTATCAATTTATTCCAAGTTATTTTTGCGTGTACAGATCATCAAGAGTTTTGGTCTTACAGAAAATGTATTGACTTACGAAAAAATGTTGAAAATTTACCTTAAACGTCTTCAAGCTTCTATCTTTTTCTGTTTTTTACTTCTTCATTTTATTTTTGGATACCAAACAAGGTATTGTCAACATTGTCTGATCAGCCTTCAGCAAAATAAGTGGGTTTTTACCCTCTTGTGTACCCCCCCCCCCCCCCAAAGACGCAAAGTATTATGGGGATGTGACGGTAGAGAATAGGGGTGAAAAAATATATATTGTAATTAAAAATAAATAAAATTAAACATACCTTGCTCCTGTGCGGTTGTTAATGGTATTTAATGTGATTCTGAGTCTTTAGCTGTTTAGAGTAGTGTTTGAAAAATTAACCCGCCAGTAAATAAACATAGAATACTATTCATTAACAACAACACACGAGCAGGGTATGTTCAAATTTATTTTTAAAATTTACATTTTTTCCCCCCATATACATTTGCTGTACATGCTATCATACACACCACAATTAAGTTGCTTGGGCTACCTGTGGATTGTCTTCATTAACTGCAATGCAGTACAGTATATAGTCTCACACCAGGGATATTTTTCACACAACGGTGTGGAGGGTTGGCAAAGGGAATGACTATTCACCCTCCCCTTTCTGCACAAATAGGAAAATGAATTTATAACTGAAAATGTGAGCATATTTTCACTCATCCAGCTTTTTTGGATCTAGTTGTATTTCTTGAAATGGATGTGGAGTGGTCCCTGCAGGGGTTCTGCGATTGGATTCTAAAACTTCTTTTGTTATCTACCTAACCCCGCATGCTTTACAACTGCACACAGCATGCGGGCGTGTTTTTTATTTCTTCACTAATTGGTTAGTAGTATTTCTCAGATAATATATGGTTTACACTTTAATAATATGCACTATTTTGTGCTATATAGCTGCTATTAGGCATTCCACCATGAAGAAATAGAAAACATGTGCGCGTGCTGTGTGCAGTCGTAAAGCACGCGGGGGTTGGCAGAACACGAGAGAACTGTTAGGAGAAGCACGACGCGTAGGGAGTGCTTCTGGACACTTCTCGAGTGTTCTGCCAATCCCCAAGTGCTTTATGACTGCACACAGCACAGCAAGCAAGTTTCTTATTTCTTTTATGAAATACAAATTACAATATCCGTTATTTTAGATAGGAATGACGCAGCGGAAAGTGCGCGCGCGTGCAATGTGCTCTCATAAAGCACGCGCTCCAAGCCAATCAGAACGCAACATTCATAACAGTTATTTTGCACTGATATATGCCGTGGCACTCTATTTACCTAGCTGCTTTTGTTAATAACACCAAATTCTACAAACAACGATAGACACCAAGACAGCTGGGATTAACAATAGAAGAAACCCAAAGCATTGCATCATGGGAGTCATTGGGGTACTCTTAACAACCTTCTTTGCATGTACCCACTTGTGGGGTCCCTGCAGTCTCCACTGTGCAGCTCCACAACTACCAATAAGAAGATTCCATGCAAGTGAAGGATTGCGCCAAAACTGAGGCTTGGCGCCAAAATATGCCGACACTTGGTCATTATATATAATGGGGTCTTCTTGAATCGTATGCCTCGATGATGCAAAGTAACGATTTTCTAAGTACAAATTTTTTTGCTTAATATCTTTTAGCATGGTTTTTCTTAGAGGTAGTTTTGCCACTCCTTTGCAGACAGCAGAGAACCAACGAGCTTGAATCTCAGAGACTGGTAGAAGCCCCCCAGATGCTGGCTGAATAAAACCAATAAAAGCTAAGCTAGGACCAATGTCAGGGCTAAAAACACTCTTGAATAAATTCATCTTGTTTGTCCCTTCCTCTACGACCACAGATCTGATCTTCTCATCCAAGAAGGGCAGACTTATAGAATAGCCTGTACAGCATACAATAGTGTCAACTTGTGCTTTAGATCCATCTGTAAACACCCCATTTTCAGACTCGAGTTTTGCTATATTTGGTTTCACAATGACGTTTCTTCTCTGGATGTGATGGACCAGGGTTGGACTAACTGTGGGTTGAGTTTGCAAAGCACCCATCTTAGGATTCAATCCCCATTTCCAAGGACTCCCAAACACGCACCTGACGATACAACCAAAAATCCAGCTTGATAATTGCCATGGTAACCAGAGGAATGCACGACAGGCATAAAGGTCAGTGGGGTAGCCCGCAACATGATTTGGCAAGATCCAAGCACCCGAGCGAGTGCTGATATAAACTGGCTTGGTTCCACCCAACTCGGCGACATTGACAACAACGTCAACAGCACTGTTGCCAATGCCAACCACTACAACACGCTTGCCCACCAATCCATTTGTTACAGCATCTTTGTAACTAATACTATGGATAATGTCCCCCTTAAATGACTCCTGTCCTTCGAATGTCGGCTCCTTTGGTATAGCATGGTGACCTGTCGCTATGGCAACATACTTAAATAAAGTAGCTTGCGAGGGGCCAACTTCTGAGCCATCTTTATCGACCATTACTGAGGTTACTGTCCACAGACCATTGTTTTTGTGCTTGATGCTGATTACCTTGGTGTTAAACCTGATGTGACGCAAGATGTCGAAGTGTTCTGCATAACTTTGGACATACTTGAGCATGTGCGAATGGTGGGGGTAGTCTGGGACATCGTCAGGGAATGGGTAGTCAGAGAAGCAGTAGTTGTACTTTGAAACATTTCTTAAAAAAGATTTAAAAAATAAAAAGATTGAAAGACACTCTCTAATCAAGGGCACTAGGGCAAAAATTGGTGGTTTTTTAGCCGTTAGAAACTGTTTAAACTGTTACTTATCTGTTCTGTTATGTGCTGGCTTGATTTATTCAGTTTTCCCATCTATATACGCCAAAAATACTGCTGTGACCAACGGTCCAATCGTATGTAACGAACTACTGTATCCTATACCTGCCCCGTGACCGCTTACGCAAGCGTACGCGTCGGTTAATAAGTTAATAAGTTAATCCAAATCCCCTAGAATAACCAAAAATGAACAGGGGTAGGAAAAGAAAGGCCAATCTATTGTTCTCTCATCTGCTCGTGTAATAGGATTAAAGTGAAAGGTACGGTGGCAATTTGTTTACTCAGCGATGACAGATGTGTATTTTTGGTTATTCTAGGGGATTTGGAATTGGTGGTGTCAGTTTAATGAGTGCGCGTCACCGAAACAGAGACAAAACATCACTGCCATCAAACAGTCCTTCTTATTAGGTTTACATTCAATAAGCCTGAAGCGAGATGACGTTTTACCCCCATCTCTAGACCATAATCCTTTTCACCTTGCTGTTGTTCTTTAACTATGACTATTGTTCCAGTATTCTCTAAGGAATCAAAAATTTTAATATGAAAGAATTTAAAAAACTATTATGGTATAGAGTTGGGGGTAAAACGTCATCTCGCTTCAGGCTTATTGGATGATCATAATACTTCGATGAACATTCACTCACCTGCAATCTTGGACAAAAAGAGTCGAGAATTTTTCATCCAATCATAAAATAGTAGGATTTCCCTTATTAAAAAAAATATTGTCTGTACCCCCTCTCCCCCAGGATAATGTTGGTCCCAGTAGGTAAAGCAGCCCTGTATCCCTCGAAACAACATTGTTTAAGGGGGAGGGGGTCGTCTTAAGGGGAATTTTTCATGTTTTTCATGAAAATACCATCAAAACCAAAAATTTCTCAACATTTTTGACCAAGATTGTGGGTTCAGACTGTTATATCTATACAATATTTGACCTTAGTCTATGACTTGAACTAGGTTTCATAGAAATAAGATAATGTATTATTATATTCTGGGGCTGTGCAGCTAATGGTCTCATATGAGTCATTAGAATGATTTTAAAAACAATATTATTCTTAATATCTAACCAGTATAGTTCCGTGAGCAGGGACGTAATGTGACAAAACCTCAGCGCTTTGGACACAAGTAATATGAAATGATGTTCATGGTGTGGTACGTGTTATGTGATGTAGTGTGGAGTCCTTTCTGAGCTAGCTCACTGGATTCCCTGTTGTGCAGCCAATTGGAATGCAAGATATTTATAATATTTCACTGTATTTTTATACAACAGCCAATAGACAATCACCCTATAATAACACAGCTGTTTAAAGAAGATTGGTGGATTTGAAGGTCTTGTTGGATGTTGCATACCAAGATCAGACTGCACCATCAACATCCATTCAGCGAAAGGTCACAACAATATAAAATTTTCCTAAACTTTGTCTTCATATTTTTCAGGCATATTTTTATCTTTGCTGACGTTATTATTTACAAAAAAATATAAACCATTTCAAGCTTACTAAGCAGCATGCAACAAAAACTTCAGAATTAAAACCAATTTTTGAAAATTAAATTGTAATAATTAATCAACTCACATGTTGATCCATATATATAAGCTTAAAATAGGCACTGCATTTTTGTTCTTTTTTTTTTCTTTAGTTGTTTTAGTTGTATAGAGTTGTACTTCATCACTTGCCGTAGTTTGTTGTACTGTATTATTTCTAGTAGTTTGTTGTATTGTATATATATTTAAAACTTTATAACAGGAAATATGTAAATTACTGCATTTTGTAAGTAAGAAAGAAAAATTTATTAAAAAATAAAAATAATAAAAATATTAATAAATGAATAAAAATTAATTAATTAAATAAATAAATAAATAAATAAAAATTTTTTTTTTTTTAAATCAACTTACATGTGAGTTAAAAAACAAAAAAACAAAAAAACAAAAAAAAAAAAATCAACTTACATGTGAGTAAATCTCATCACTCCATATGCATCTTCCCTAAAATGCCATAGCCCACCAATTCCACTTGTCTTTTCATACACTACAATGTCAAACTGATCATCAAGCAGACACTTGGCTGTTGCTAGGCCAGATATGCCACTGCCGATCACTGCAACATCGTATATTTTTGTATCCATGGCAAAGTACTATTTATGGTTTTCAAAGTCGAAGTATATATAAATCTGTTAATATCAAAAAGAACATACACCTACTTGCAATAATGTTGTAATACGAAAATAGAACATTAGTGATTTAGTGGGGTAGGAATTGTATTAAAAAACAAAAGAAGATCACAGAAGCTGAACTTTTTGAGAGTTGGTTGTTGTTGGTTCTCTCCTCTGAATTTTGTGGCTTTTTCTCTGAGTTCTCTAGTTTTCCTCAATCCACAAAAATCAATTCCAAATGAATTCATTGGAGGAGAGCCACTCCACAAAACCACTGTTAAATATCATTATTAAACAGCCTAGATAGTACACTCACTCTGAGTGGTCAAGAACTTTGCTTTAATTTACTAAACTGAGCATGGTTAATGATGCCATCCGCACATGTGCAGCAAACTTTGCAAATAATTGTAAGAAATTAGCATCTCCATTCAGTGATAAAGCACTTACGAAGTATGAGAACCTCTCTAGCTCCTATGACTCGTGCTTTATTACTATAGCAGGGAGACACGCAGAAAGATATGTAATAACAGTTAATTACTGTAGATTGATATTATGCCATGATTATTTAACATTTATTCATCGAAGACGAAGTGATTATTAGTGGGATATTTACTGAGCTGCGAGTCTTTGAGCGGCATGGTAAATATTCACCATAATCACTGAGCCTGAGGGGAATAATTGTTTTAGTATGATTTTATACTCGAACATCAGACAAAAGTCGAAATACAGGATGAAAAAAACATTTTAGTGTCACTTCCATTCTGGCAAACTTGGAAAAAAACTTAAAATCACCGTTTGAGCAGTGATTATCGTCTCGGAATCACTGGTCGCTCAACCAATCACAGTGCTAGAAACTCAATATTCAAGTCTATCAAATTATAATATTAAATACATGTACATTCTGTGGGGGGTACGGAGAGGGGGAATTCTACTAAGAATCTATCAAACACAGCATTCATGTAAAAATAAAAATATCCGAAAATATACCAAGAATGCTTAAGAATCATTTAAAAAACATAAGCAAACATGTGTTTTGTACTAAAAACGCTGACCAAAAACGAAAAAATAACATAATAGAGTGAGCTTGATTCGTGCTCCCGGTGTTTTGTCGGCCATCATTCTTCATTGAAAAAGCAAACTTCATCGCTTAAATTTCAAAGTCCGAACAAGAAAGAGAGCTTAACTAAAGCTTATTCAAGCTTAAATCGATGTAAGTCTTTAATATAGTTTGAGCATGAAGGCATAAGGAAAGAGCTCAGGGGAGAAATCTTAGTATGAATCGGCGGTCATAAGTCTCGCCGATCGTCGTCCGTGTTTAAATAAAAATTATAATATTTAAAAAAATACTTCTGTAAGACCAAGTAAGGGTAGATCAATATTGTTAGCATGTAAAACTGTGAGTAGAGAGGGGAGAAAAGGCATTTTTGATAATCTCTTTACTCACCTTAGATCAGTAGACGACTTTGTACTCTGTCGGTTCGGCCCCCTGTGCATTTGAATGGCTATCCACAGGAAGCCCACAAGAAACTGAGGTTGCCTTACACAGAGCCTTATATATACACTGTGGTGCAGAGGTTATTTATTCTCGGTCTGGCTTTTGCTATTTTGACCAAAAACAGTCGCTGATAGTCGCTGAAACTACATCAAGCAATAATCCCCCGGTGGGGGGTAGGGGGGGTAGGGGGGAGATATTCCCCTATATTCTCTTGGACAGGGTAATCATTCTTGGATACGGTTCGCGCTATTTTATCATTTCAACCTAAATATATGGATGTACACTTTCCATGATATTGTCTAGGACTTCTTGGCTGATCTAGGTCAGGTGATACACTTAAGTCCAAAACGGGCGCACGGCCGAGTGTGTTACACGAAAACGAGGGCTAAATGCAAAGAAATATAATGTTGTCAATGCAAAGTATACACTTATTCACTTGTTCTGTCTTTCTTTTCTTCTTACATTCAGGATAGCGAAAATTTTGCAGCATTATTTTATAAGAAAATACTGTAAATTTATAAATTTGTCCCTGGATGCCTCGTTTTCAACCGGCCGTGCGCCATTTTGGATTTAGATTGGGATCCAACTCGTTATGAATTGCGGAGGGAGGGAAAGCAGAGAAGCCGGAGAAAAAGCGCCCAAAATAGGTTGAAATTGTGGCCGCGCGCCACTTCATTATATATATAGTAGAAAATTCATGTTCTGATCAAAGAAGACTCTGCTTGCAGGGTAGTGCTGCTTAAGACTTATATATAATAGTTAAATTCGACAAAGAAAGGAATTTTGAGATTAAAATATTTCAATTTTAAGGAGATATGAGAATGATTTAAGTGTGAAAAACACCTGAAGAAGGCTAGTCAGTCGGTCTTCAATTGACAGAACCGGCCGTCAAACCTCTGAATTTCTATTATGATGACAACTTTACTGGAAATTTATATTCATAGCATTGAAACTTTCGAAAAGACATATTTTTGACTATAGCTCTTTCTGATGGTGATACTTTTTTTTTAAATTTTTATTTCAGAAAGTCAATGGCGGCCATAATTGCCCTATTTCACTATGACGTCACATCAAAACAACCTATTGTTTAAACGCAAGGGATCATGGTCGTCGGAGGGGGTCAAATCATCGCAAATTCACCGAAAAATGTTCTAAAACCCGTATCAATCCACGAAGAGAAGTAGAATAGCCAGCAAACGGTCAGAATATTTTTTAGTACATATTAACACATATTATATCTGAAAACCAGGCCATTTTAGATTAAACTGTTTCGCTAGGAGCAAATTTTGTTGAATTTTCTATTGGATTTGACGATTCTATCCCCACATAAACAAGCAGTGACGTCATAGTGAAATAGGGCAATTGAATTCGGCGTATCTCGAAGTCGGTTAATTCTTTTCCAATCCGGTAGACTCTTCTCTGGTTTGTTCTTTAGCCTGAACTGGTTTACCTAAAGACAGTGCGCGCATCTGTTTTCAACTGATAAATTTCACTTTGGGTTCAACGAAAATAGCTTGTACTAAAGATAAGTACATCTGAATGGAAGTTTTTAGCAATAGCAACAATCGTGGAGTATTAATTTTGGGTTCTCAATATTCCTCTCCACATGCAAAAGGCGGTCTAATTGCGCAAAGAAGCAGATGTACACATCAGGGGAAAAAATCAGAAAATTGATGAGCGTCAACGAAAACACACTAAAATAATATGCGAGTTGCTAATTAATCAGAGGAAAGAAAAATAATTTTCGTCTTCGATCGACGTTTGACACCTATTGAAACCTGTTTGCTTTGCTTTTAATTTGGGCAACTCTAGCAGCAAATTCAATTAGATGTGCTTCTTATTGAAGAGCGTAAAAAGTTATATAAAAAGACGCCCTGACAGCTGTGCAATCAATTTTCCAACAGTTGCTCACTCGGCGGTATCCCAAAATCTTGACTAAAACAATAGACTTCAAGATGGCCGCCATATCGGTAAAAAGGGCTATGGCGCGATGAATAGAACTGAACCAAGAGGATATGAACTAAGAGAAGGAATCCCCGTGCCCCATCATGTGCACACTTTGATGCTTTTTTTAGAATCTATTCTAAAAATATCATCCAATGATATCATTTATTTCATCGTTTGATCTTCTGCACGCGCATAGTACGCGCGCGCTCTACGCTGTTTGCTAACGTTTTCTTGTGCTTTTCTTATGCTCACATGTTCAAATCTGCCCTTAAGATGACGATGTAGGTCGAAAACTTTGGAAAATAAAGCTAAAAATACTCCAGAAAGTTGAACAAATTACTACTTCAATTTCCTGTCGTATTTGCCAAGCTTTAACGATGTGAACGTAAGCAAACAGCGTAGAGTGCATGCAATAAATGCGCGTGCAGAAAAACAAATGGTTTAAAAATAGCATCAAACTGTGTACATGATGGTTACAAGGCTATATAGGGGGGATTCCTTCTCTTAGTTTTTATTCTCTTGACTGAACTGAAGACATGATGACTGTCTCTGAGATTTAAGTAGACCCCATCGCGCTTACTTTAAATGTATACGTACTTGGAATTATTAGTTTGCTAAGGGAGACAAGTCGGAACGATCTCGGGACACCCCAGTTTTATTTATTTAGTTTAAATCCGGGTTAAAATCTCGGCTGTGAAGAAAAATCTTCGATTCTTTTAAAGGGGTTTTCTAATCAATTTTTGCCAAAGTACTCACCTACAGTCACAAATAGACGTTAATACGAAATAGTGCGCGTTTTCCCCCCTCCATTCCATGTGTCAATTCTTGCATGATTTGCTTAACACTTATTTGAATTTTTGAGCAGGTGATTGTAAGCATTGAGAAGCATCATTATTGAGCGAGGGAAAAATTTTTTCTTAGCGCACAGTTATTTTTGTATTTGAAAGCTTAAGAAAGAAATGAAGAAAGCCAGAAAGAAAGAAAATAAGAAAGAAAAAAAGCACAAACGCCTTTTATTTTTGTTATTTATTTTTTTAACAGCTTTCGCTTTTTTAGTCATTTTTTGAATATGCAATTGAAGGATGATATTTGAAATGTGTGCGGCTGGTGACGTCTTAAAGATCAGTAATTTATATATTGATGCTGTTCAAAATTTCTGCTTTTCGGCGGCTCAGTGTTTGATTAAAGGCTTCACTGCTTATCGTAGAAAGCACAAATCCGCGAGAAACAGTAGTTAAGCTTAACTTCGAAAACTTAAGTTAAGCTTTAGCCCTCCAGCAATACACATTGATATTTCATTTTTCTCTTTTACCTTCTTTTATGTTGTTAGTATTATGTATTTAATTTATTTTGAAAAATATACATGTAAATAAGTGCGAAATAGCAGATGGTTAATGATGGGAATAGTAATAACCACGGTAAATATAATTAAGAGCCGAAGTGTTATATATATATTGACAACGGAGCTTGGAGCTAAGTTGGTTGTCAAGAATATCTACTCCTATAAAAGTCTTCAGTGGACATACTGATACGACAAGAAAATCTAACTAGATAAAGACTGATACCTCAATTGAAGCAAACTTATTCAAAGATCATGTCGGATCAAAGAGCCAACATTACTTTCTTCAATTTCTCAGTTCTGCCCCAGCCATGGATCATCACCATCCCAGAGAGTCAGAGAATAGCATTTATAGTGTGTTACGCTTTGATTCTGGTCTTGTCTGTGCTAGGTAATACTTCCATTATTGCTATTGTTGCCAGAAATCCATCGATGCGAAGTACCATCAACTATCTGATCGCCAACATGGCTGCAACAGACTTGGCAGCATCAGTAGTCGTTACTGGATGGCGCTTATTCGTTATGCACAATCTTTCCCAAGAGTATGAAGTGTTGGGAGTACTAGGGAACATGTTCTGTAAGCTAAGACCTTTTATTCGCGATGTTTCGCTAGCGGTCTCAATTTTCAGCATGGTAGCCATCGCATTTGATCGGTTTTTTGCTGTTGTTTTCCCAATGAGACGAACACCTCGACTTCTACACCTCCGTGTCCTCTTACCAATCATTTGGTGCCTATCACTTGGAACATTTACTGTGTATATGGTTACCTATAGATTGACATCGCCTGTCCATGGGGTTGATATCTGTATTCACAAATGGCCGACTAGAGATCCAATAAAATCCAACACCATCTTTTACCTTAGCACAATTTTCACTGTATTTTGGTTGGTACCGCTAACAACCATTGCCATCTTGTACACCATTATTGCCTTAAAAATGAGACACCAGACAATTCCAGGACAACAGTCATCAGATGCTGAACAAGCGAGACGAAAACAAAACAAAAGCATCGCAAAAATGGCCTTTGCAATCGTGATTTTCTTCTTCTTGTGCTGGTTTCCGTTTCACACTATTTCTATCTTGAAGCTTGTCGTTTGGAAAGGAAGCATCCCCAACGGTGTCGATCCTCATCTGTTTGCCATTTTTTATGACACCATGACCATGATATCTTACGTCAGTTTCGTAGTCAACCCATATGTTTGCCTTACGTTCAGTTCTAAATTTAGAAAATGCTTCAGGAATCTCTTCCCGTTTGCTCTATGCTTCGCTACAAGAATCTCCTGTCCTGTTCAGGGAACTGGACATCGAGCGATTGTTAGTTCAGTTTAACAGGATCATTTAACAAGTGCACTATACGAAAACACATCCATATTTATCACTACGTTAAAAAAAACGTCTCAACCGATTTATATGACTAAACTTTGATGTTTCCACTGGGAGAAGCCACAAAAATTAGAGAAAATGCGATAAAACAATTGCCTACGATTAGTGAACATTGTTTGTAATGGGAGACGATTATAGGCAATTTGTTAACAGATTACGATATTACAAAAAGAAAATATTACGCTTTAGCTTTAGCTCTTAAATTAATATATTATTTTTTATTGACAGTTAGAGTGCTTTTACTCTCACTGTTGAATAGGTGACGTCAACTAAATTAGATAAATTAGTTACTATTTTAGGTGACGTCACATAAATTTGAAACTACGAGTAAACAGCTACTGAGATCAGGGGGGGAAACGATGATACAAATGAATGTCTATTCACTCATTCTCTGGTAAAACAAACCCCCCGGATTAGCATGACCGTTATTTGGCACGCTTTTACTATTTTCGGTGACGTCGACTAAATAGTTATCTAAGTTAGATAAATTTATCTAACTATTCAACAGTGAGACTAAATGCACGCTATATCACGGCTCTCTGTAAGAGCATTATATTGTATGATGAGACTCCGTGTACAGTATAAATAAAGGTTGTATATATCTTCATGGCCTTCTATTTCTACCTTTTCCTCTTTAGTCAGCAGGTCCATCCGACTTCGTCTCTTCTCGATTTTGCAAGAAAGAGAGGGGATTGGGAACCAGGAAGCTATATATAAATTTCCAGTAATTCAAGCAAATTGGCGGTCAGACACAGTCGATCGTTGCTTTGTAGTCATTATAGGTGCGCACTAAAGTCTTCGAATCGTTTGAAAACCAATACGAAATGGCCAGTAAAGATGATAGCGACAAGGAAAACCTCTTTAAAGGTATTGAAGCGATTTTTAATGTACTTGAACTCGGTTTTTGCGAGTTGTGAATTGCGCGACCGTTGGAACATTTTCGCTGCCGCCAGTCAAAAACTGTAAAAGGCATTGACTGATTATTTTTGACAGTGATTGAAGCGAAAATATTTGAAGCTACCAAATTTGCAATTGTGTAATACTTCAAACTCTGCAATAACTGCCTTGCACTTCTACATTCGACTGCCAGTTAACAAATATATATATATATATATATCCCTTGTTCAAGTAGTTAATTACATTATTGACAACCGTTATATTTTTGACTTTCATGTGAATTAGGAAAAATCTCGGACCGAACGCGGTCCAAATCATCGAAACGACGTACGCCAAAAGAAAACAAGGAACAGGCTATTTTTWAAAAAATCAGGTAAAGAATCCAACCGATTATGAACTCTACTATACAAGAACTTTATTGAATCAAATTCGTGTGAATTAGGAAAAATCTCAAAAATTTCATGTGAATTAGGAAAAATCTCGGACCGAACGCGGTCCAAATCATCGAAACGACGTACGCCAAAAGAAAACAAGGAACAGGCTATTTTTTAA